ATTGGACGGGGCTTGGAGCAACCTGATGTAGAGGAGAGTGTCCCTGTCCATGGCAGGGGGATTGGAACAAGATGATCTTTGAAGGTCCCTTCCAACCCAAACCATTCTATTCACCACTTTGTGAATCTGTCCCTGCTTCAGGCCAGACCTGAGCTGGATGTGACTGGGGCAGGGACAGCTCCAATAAGGCTGCAGACAAGAGGTGAGAGCAGCAAGGTGAATGGGAGGACATGTTGCTTTGCTTTCTGCATCCAGGACATGCCCAGACACCTTTTGCCAGGTTCCTTGCTTTGCTAGGGCCTCTTGCTTCACCACAGCTCCAGCTCCCCTTGCCTCCTTCTTCAAGGTCTGCTGAAGTCTGGGCTAGCTCTGATTTCCCATCCCAGGGAAGCTGGGACAGACAGCAGAGAGGGTGGAAGAGCAAAGAGAAGGCAGGAGAACAAAGTCAGGCTGAAACCCTTGTCTGTGCTCTCCACTGCTCCTCCCAGAGGAGCATCACACAGTCCTGAGCCTGCAGCCTCCAACACACTATGACTGGTCTTCAAGGAAACCTCCTTCCTGCCCTGGTGGGACCAGGGACCAGGCACCAGGGGGAAAGTACCCCCAGAAAAACCACTGCATGGTGGGAAGTGGAGCTGAAAGGGCAAAAAAAGCTGTGTCCAAGGAGAGCAGCTCCACCAGGAACCAGCTCCAGCAGCACCTGAGCAGCAGCTCCTCGGGGCACAGTGGGCTTCCCACTGGGACACACACCAAAAGGACTGCTGAGACGTGAGGTTGTGCTTACAGGAGAACATAGAGATGTCTGAGAGGGGTCCAGCCAGTCCCTCTGCACCCAGACAGCTCCAAATTGCCTTTTTGGCACCAGCCAGTGCTGCCTCAGCACATCAGTCAGAGGTGAGTAGCTACAGTTTGTCTCCTCGACCACCTGGCACGCCTCTCTGCCAAGAAATGGTCTGCCAGGAATAAGAGAGGCCACTCTCCAAGGAACTCAAATCTCCTCCAGCAGCCAGAGAGCCAACAAAGTCACCCCAGCCCTGCACCCTGGTGTCCAACACCACCACCTCGAGCCTGCACAGCTAAAACTATGAAGCTGGAGGTCAAGTTTCACGGAACTGAACCTCCCCTTTCGTCCTGGTGTAGCTGTAACAGACCCACTTCCAGGTCTGAAATATTTATTGGGTCTCCCGAAGCCTGCGGAGATGGGCTGAGCTGACGGGCTGACAGACACGACTTGGGATTTGAAGATTTGCGTTCCCAGAGGTGATTCATGGAGCAAACAGCATCCCTTACATAACTCAGCACCGGGAGCGGCGGAGGGCGGCCACTGGCGGGATGTGATGCTCGGAGAGGAGGAATGGCAAAGGAATCCTTCCAGACCACTCCAGGGAAAAAACTAAACATTATTCCACCCCTCGCTGATTGGACTGCCACCCAAAGCCACCTCCTCTGGGATGTGACCTGGGCCGAGGAGGACCGGCCTGCTTCCAGCGCCAGGAGCAAAAACAAGCGCCGCAGCTCAACGGGAAGGATTTTAGGAATGGATTTACCTGGAGCTGTGACTCAAATCTGGAGTAGCAGCAGCAATGGCCCCAACTCAAGGAGAAACACAGCCCCTCAGCTTCCCCAGCCCTGCCGTGACACTGCCCAGCTCAGCAGGGAGACCCTCCCTGTGCCCCCGCAGCCGGATGCGAGTCTGTCAGAGCCCAGGCAGGGGCTGTCACCTCACCGGCTCGGTGGCAAAGCCAGCCAGCTGCCCACCCACTGGGCTCCAAAATAAGCCCAAGCAGCAGTGGCAAGGCAGATCCAAGAACAGTCTGTGCAGCCAGAAGAGGGATCAGCGGGGAGGGGAGGGACGAGCCTTTCTGTGAGATACGGATCCAGCCCCGCGCCTCCGCCGCACGCCAGGCAGGTGGGTAAATCCAGCTCTCCCACAGACACACGGACCTCAACTTCTCCTGCAACAGCAGAGCACCAAGGGCTTGCAGCTGCCTAAGCACAGACATTTAAGAAGTAGATTCCAGTGGGATTGCACCTGTGGAGTCCCTCTCCTCTACCAGTGATCCTGAAACAGCAGCAATTCACCCAGCAGCCACTACACATCCCCCCATCCATCCCTTCACTCAGTGCTCCAACAGCAACTCCAAACACTGCCCATCCATTTCCCAAATTACCAGCCCAGCTCTGTCCCAATCTTCTAAAGCCCCACTCAAAGGTTTTCCAGCTCCAGGAAGGACTTGTTGGTGGTGTTTAAGGAGTTTGTATCTCTGACAGAGAAGCTACACCCACACCAAACCAAGCTGCACAGCACATGTGCCTCCAGACAAGAATGAGAAGTCTGTGACTTCCTTCTGATTCCCTGGAGGAACACTTCCCATCATCTTGCAGTGAAGGTTCCACATGATGCTAAAGTGCTTACAGATCACTAAGAAATAACTCAAGAGGGCACAAGCAGCATCCCAAATCCCTGCAGAGAGCAATGTCTTGCCCTGATGGCCATCCCAGACATCATTCCTTGCTATTGTAAACAGCAAACATCAGTGAGCCCACCCCAAAACCAGCCTCTCACCACCTACACTTTAGTGCTCTTTGGCTCCCTCCCCTTCCCATGCCTCATGGGAACCTTGCTTCTGGATTTCCAAATTAATCTCAATAAATTCACTGCCCTGGGTTACAACAAGCTTCTGCATTAATGAGCAGGTTCTCTCCATGCTCAGGAGGAGCACAGGAGGGTGGGGGTGAGGCTGCCAGCACAGGCAGACATGGACCTGGCAGAGCAGGTTCAGAGGAGGCCACCAAAATTGTCCAAGGCCTGGGACAGCTCTGCCATGGAGAGAGGGTGGGAGAGTTGGGGCTGTGCAGTCTGCTGGGGAGACCTTAGAGCCCCTTCCAGTGTCTAAAGGGGCTCCAAGAGAGCTGGACAGGGACTTTGGACAAGGGATGGAGAGACA